TTGAAACAAAATATATTTAATACCACTTTCATTACAAATGATCCTGCCTCAATCGGCTCTTATATGTATATTACAAGTGTGGGCATGTAAAAGACACAACCGTTAACAAAATGTTCTATTGTTAGTGCCTTAAAGGAACGTTAGGAGATATTTACAAGAACTTATATCGATAACAGGGACCTAATCGAATAACGGCAATGTAATCAAGTCTGACGCTTTCGACATCATTATAATTGACTAAATAGTTACTGGTTTATTTTTAATGATTACGTGAATAATAACTGTATCGTAAATGTAACAAGTTTTTTTAATAAAAACAATTGTATAGTTGTTTGTGTGCAAAATGGAACTAGTTATTTAGATACCTTATTCGATTAGGAAATATTTTGTACAAGTGGCTTTGTTGGTTTCTCATTCACTTATCAGCTTGATAAACATCAGCTTTATCAATGTAATCTTCCGTATTAGGCAATAACTGTTTCAGAATACGGCCATTTTGGATTTTGAACGAAGTTTTCGTTTGCAATTAAAACTGTATTATAGAGTGGCTTATTCAGGACCCGTAAACAGCCCTTCATCATTGCGACAAACAATTTTTGTAATTGTGCATTATTATTACCTGAATTGAAAGCAAAAGTTGCTTTATTCCTTGCGCCCTTAGACGACAATGTTGGTTGATAAGGTGTATGTAAAGTGGGGTGTATACTTATTGAAACCACACGTCAACAGGTGCATTTTAGTTAATATTTCGTCGAGAAATATCATTCAGTCAATAGCACTTCCGAAAGCCACTTATACACAAGTACAGAAAGTATTAATCTAACAAAATTAAAATAACTAGTCATTATTATATAGATATCCTGAATTGATATGCTTGACATGGTGTAACTTCACTACTTTGTTGGCAAATAGAATTTTCTCTCTGACAATAGTGTTGGATGCTAAAACATTTTTTGATATAACATTGAATGATGTTTGTTAATTCTAATTTTGGAGAAAAGTTACACCTATGAAGTAGATTCTGTTGATTCGTAATGGTGCTCAAGGGCATAAAAATTAATCATACAATGCGGCCTAAAAGTAAAATTAATTTGTTGCATCAATCAATTGTTAACAACAATTATTTTTAGATTTTTGATTCTTATCTAAAACTTTGTAATACAGCTGCCCGATTTACATTTGATTTTTTATTTCAGTTTGACATGTCAAGTGCAATTTGATCACAATAATAATTGCTTAAATGCTTTGGCTGCCAATGATCAACGACATAACCTGTTGAGTAATGGTATACAGCAAACGTGTTAATTTAATATGTTATTATATCGGCCACTTACAATGTTGACAGAACACATTTGTTTACAAATAACTTTATTTATTAATAAAGACGTTTATGTTTCTATAAGATTGTGACGTAAATAATTAAGTCAAAATTGTAAGTTGCAAGGATCGTTATTTGTAGAGCGGCCATTTTGTAGGGTACGCTTCTGGGCTCATTCCCATCAGTATATAAATTCACAATGCTATGAACAAGCCCATTAAAAATAATTTCTCCAGGTGACTATTGCACGTTATTATATATGTGTATAACAGGTACATTTGACAATAATTATCGTTACTTGTATAACTTTGTAACATATACATCATTCCCTACAAGATGTTTCATTAAAAAAAACAACCTTCGAAATTGGGAATGAGATTTAAGTTTAGCCTATTAATGATTTTAATTACCATCAACTAACGTCCATGCCTAACTAGCGATGATTAAAACAAACGAACTGGACTAATGATAATAATATTATGTAGTAATTAACGCTAAGGGTTTGGAGACGAAAACATTGGTTGATTGATTAAGTAACAGAACAATGAAAAATTCGTATAAAGTTAATTCCTTACGGTAGCAAACAATTAGTTACCCTAAACTCTCGCATTGTAACAGTCATATTTAAGAAAGCTAAGTAGGTATATGAAAACGTTACTACAAAACTTCAGCAATCATCTGGACCATTGTATTGAATTGAAACACAGACCAACAGACAAGTGCCACTGCGCTATGTCAAATAAGCGTAAATTACATAAACACGGTATCATATTTCAATAAACAGTGTAAATGATGCTAATATTGTAAACAAATGAATACAATATGGTTGCAAAAAGCTGTTACTTCGTTCAGTCTTCAGTGTCCATTCTTAAGCGTCTAGTTTGAGGGGAAGCAAAGCATTTTACGCGCTTAACTAACATTCTTTAAAATCAACTCGGTCGACATCTAGGCGTGGGTAAAATATAAGGGTGAAGGTACATCAGGTGAAGATCCATAACTATTACGCTGCTACTAAACGACCTGCATGCGCGAAGTCTGTATAATACAACTCCATACAGACGAAACCGACTGCATGCAGCTGAAAACAACTGCAGGTAGTTGTCGTCGTGCGCCTAGCTCAGTGTAAAAGTTGACGTGGAGGTAAAGCACGGACGGTACTTCTGTTACAATTGCGAAGCCAAACAACGAAAGCGTGCAGCGTGGATAAATCCACTATTGTTATGTTGCTATAGAGGTGATTTTTGTGTACTGTAAACTGCTAAATTGATAAAACCTTCAATATGCCTTTTGTGTTACTAAAATCCGTGTTTCAGACGCAAAAAAAATATCCTTGTAGGGATGTCAATTACTGCTTTTAATTCTTGGATTATCGTTCACATTGACGCTTGAAATAGAAGTCTTAACTGCATGCAGTTGAGTTTCGACTGTGTGCAGTTGTTATCAACTTCATACAGTCGAGGTCTCGGCTGTATGAAGTTGATTATGACTTCACGCACTAACTGCAAACATGCAGTCAATCTGTTAGCAGCCTTAAGCTTTATGAAAAAAATCGACAGCACAATTTTATGCGTAAGTTGTTTTCTATTCAAGAGTCACCTGCAAGAAACTTATCTCAATAACGACCGAGTTGTGTGTTGACCTTTTCATCTGGAAATTGGACGGACACGTAATTGTTCTTCTTTTAAATGGAACCTACCAAGAAATGTTTCAACACAGATTGAATACCTACACCTTGTCACTGAGTTTGAAACAAAATACCTACTGTTATTTGGCACTGGTGTTAATGTAAAACAGAGATAAGAAAATCTGATGTTGTTATGCTTGATATGAACTTTGATCATTATCATTCTTCTTGCACTGTTCTAGATAGAAAAGGAAGATAACAATTAGGCTCAATTTACAGTGATGCGGACGGGAATGGAAGCGAATGTGAATGAAATACTTTATATCAATCGTGTAACAGACAAACTACAGGCCTACTGCTTAACTGATATGGTTACTGAGGTAGCTGCGCGGTGTGGGAGGTGTTCACAGCTGGAGGAATTTCTGAGACTGCGAGTTGCGACTTGATTTTTGACTCATATCCAGTTGTTACGCAATTGATATAAAGTTCATTACGCTATGGTTACAAAAATCGCTTCCATTCCGTTCCCCAGCAAAGTAAATTGAGCCTGCAGTAACATACTGAAAGTTCACCAAAAATTCAGTAAAATCTGTGTAAATTTCAGAATTACTTTGTCATTTCCTATATCTCTGTTTTTAATAAAATATAAGATATAATCTTTTCAATAAAGATTGTTTTTGCACAATTCAAATTCCTGTGTAGATTTATTTACACCACAGTACCCTGACTTATAATGATAAATATAATATGTGATGATTATGAATAAATACGCGTGTAATACTGTATTTACAAAAATATGTTGTTATGAATAAATATAGGTTAGACGGTAATTTTCTTGAACGAAATTCTTATACGACAGATGTACCTATATGTTAATAAACACTGTTCATTGTATAAGCGTCCACTACCTTTATTACTCCATTAATTAAACATTATCTGTAGTTTTGCTTTGATCAAGTTTTGGGCGGCATTAAAGTTAAAAATCTCATTTACCTAGACCTCAAGGGAAGTAAGTAATATATGTAGAGTGGGTAATACCACCTCAGACAGTGGAGAATGATTTAAAGTTTAACCGATACAATCGCTGATAACACCAACGCCAAGTAAGGAGGCACACGTTTTTAAGGTAGACTTCATTGATACTACAATAAAAGACAACACAGACTATTACAGAAACTAATGCAAAAAATCTGAGAATTATTGTATTTTGTTCTATACTTTTGATGTGGAACAAGGAATTACTACGGTAGTATACTTAGAAGAAACGTTTTGTATTGTAAGTAAACATATAATTATTTTGTTTTGATGTATTTTGTATTTTTAATCATCTTGGCATTTCAGAGGAGGGTATTATTTACTCTATGTATAGAACTGAAGTTTAGGTAAATGTACTCTGGTAATGACACATTAAATCAGTGTAGCAAAAGTTAACAATGTAGTCATACATGGAAAATTAACTCACTTTGTTAATATCGTAAAGTTGCTTTTCACTGATTTTCTTTATTGCAGCTATTATACCGCATTGTCCCGAAATTATTTCCTTAAATCGCCTTTAAAGTTTCACTTTCAGAAAATTTCAAAACATGTATGATAGAACGCCCAAGACCGTAAAGATAAGGTACACGAGTGTTATAAATTTCGTTCGCGAAAATAACAGCCCTAACACCTTGTGATTTGACACAAATTTGTACATTTCGATTTATCCAATAAATTGGAATATCATTGAAGACTTCATTGTGACGGTTCGGGGTATCGGAGAGTTTCCAATTTGTATTACAGCTGAATAAAATTTAGTTACGACGGATACTTTATTGTTAAAGCAACACGTTTGAGAAGACTAGAAAACGTGTTGCTCAATTATACATAATTTCAATCTTATAAATATTACTAAAAGGACGAATTTAGCCCGAGTTGTTTATTTTCCGTAAGTATACATAAAAAATCATAGTTAAATTCACAATAATATAAAAAGAAAATAAAAATAATCGAAATAAAATTTTGTTTTAAACTCAATCTATGACTTTGTCGATGTAATATATAATAAATGTGTATAGTATATGTTTTATTATAATAACTATTAATTAAATTATTAAGAAAAAATATCTAAAATTTTGACTACAGAATGACAACTAAAACTTCAGTTGTCAGTTTCGGAAAGTACAAAATGTTATTATGATCGCAATAAATCTTAGTAGCAACATAATTATTTACACGCTTAAATTATATCTGAACTGGCAAGTACAATGATAATACTGTATAAAAATCATAAGTATAAATGAAACAAAAATAACCTAATAATAATATTTACAAGACACCTGTGTAACAAGACTATAACGTTGTTAGTTATGAAAAGAAAAATCTCTATGTTATTAGAAATCCGATGTTGAAAAGTAATGTACCAACAATAGACTAAAATCGACTAAAGGCCATATGACGCCGATTTTGTAGTTCGTTAATATTCAATTCTCATTGGTTTAAAAAATGAAGCAATTTTTGTCGGACGTATACACAAAATCGACGTCAGTAAGAATAGGCCTCGATTTCAATCAACAAGGACTATTCGACCACACATTGACTATTCACCCCGAATTTAGGCTATTCTAATCGATTTATCTACAACCATTGCTCTATAATCTCAATTTTAACTCCAACGAAATGCTTACTTTATTCAGTCGTCAAATAAACTCGAATTAATAACTTGAAGTGTTCGCCATCACTCAGTAATATATATATATATATTGTCATCGTACGTGTATAGTTTTTAACTCTCGACGGGATTGGCACTAGCCTTGAATACTGTTACAAAGTATAAAGAAATATTTGTATCGATCGAATAACGTATATTGCTCTCTGTCGCCTGTATATTTTATTACGAATAAAAATATCTTTTAACGCTATGGAAGTCACTAGTCACTGTAAATTTGACACAAGTACACGGATCACCGCACCCTCCTGTCTGCACGACGACGTCGCCTCGCCGAACGGTCGCAAGCGCACTGGCCGGTCGGTCCTGCGCCGCCTTCCGAGTCGGGCACGCGCGCTACTCGCGGCGGTCGTCGCCGGCGCGGTGCTACGACTTCTTGTCGAAGAGCGGCAGCTTGGACTTGACGGCGCCCTCGCAGATCATGAGCCGCTGCTGCGCGCACTTGCGGCCGCAGAGCTCGTCGCTGCGCTCGGCCAGGCGGCTGCGGTGCTTGACGTCCACCGGGTACTCCCGGCCCCTGCGCTCCTCGCTGCCGAAGTGCAGCATCTCCACCTTGCCGAAGCCCAGGCCGCTCATGCGGAAGCGCGGGTGGCCCTTGAGCGCGCGCTCGCACTTGAAGTCGGCGCCCTTGCGCTCGAAGTACTCCACGATCTTGGAGATCTGCGCCGAGCGCACGTGGCGCGGCAGCCGCTCGTCGCAGTACAGGCTGTCGGAGCCGGCCAGCGAGGCCACGTCCTCGGACGAGTCGGTGTACACGCTGGACGTGCGCTTGTACGAGCCCAGCAGGTGGTGGTGCGGCGGGCCGCGGCGCAGCGCCATCAGGTCGTCGGCGTCCAGCGGCGAGTGCACGGACACGCAGCCGCCCGGGCACTCGGCGTGGCTGACGCAGCAGCAGCGGTCGAGGATGTGGTACTCGCGCACCCTCTCGGCCGGCTCGGCCTCGGGCAGGCGGCCGCACAGGAAGGGCGAGGCCGGCTCGGGCTCGCGCCGCGGCAGCGCGGGCGCCTCCTCCAGGTCGTCGAGGCTGCGCAGCGAGCTCACCGTGGTGGTGGACAGCGCCGAGTCGTCCAGCACGAACAGGCTAGAGTTGGCGGACGCGGAGGGCGCGGGCCGCAGCAGCGCCGTCGCCCGCGGCGCGCGCGCGTTCAGCAGCCGGTCGTACACGAGGCGGCAGTCGGCGCACAGGCGCACGGGCGCGCCGGCGCGGCACTCCGCCTCGGGCTCGTCGCGCGGCTCGTCGAACTCGTCGTCGGCCGACTCGTCCGAGGCGGCGTCGCGCTGCCACCACCAGCAGCGGTGGCAGCCCATCAGCGAGCACGGGCACATGGCGCCGTAGAAGCACTCGGCGCCGGGGTGTTGCGGGCAGAAGTCCTCGTTGGCCACCGAGAAGATGCCGCTCTCGCAGGAGCCGCGGCGGCGCAGCTCGATGTTGGAGTTGCTCTTCTGGATGGGGAAGTCGGGTCGCGGCGGCGGCGCGGGCGGCGGCTCCACGCGCTCCAGCGAGCCGCGGCGGCTGAGCCCCGGCGACGAGGGCAGCGACGCGCAGCGCGGCTCGTCGTCCGACAGCGCCTCGGCGTCGGCGCGCAGCAGCGGCGACGGCAGCTCCACGCACGACGAGAAGCCCGACTGGCGCGCCGCCGCCGCCGGCTCCAGGATCTTCTTGACGCCGCGGAAGGTGTCGAGCGGGCGGCGCGCGGGGTGCGGCGCGGCGTGCGTGTCGCGCAGCAGCATGATGTGCGCCAGCCGGTGCAGGCGCGCCAGCCGCGGCGGCGGCCGCGCGCGCCCCGCCGCC